CAAAGAGAACAACGAATAGCACAAAACAGCGAGGGATTGAGAGAGATTAATGAAGTTGGATGGAGTTGATCGAAGGATCCAAGTTATATAATAAATCATAGGCCGAAAATTTATGATATTGGATGATTAGAAGTCATTGGAAGAAGAGAAAAAATGCAGGGAGAAGCATTGACCACACCAGACCAAGGTCAGTAATTTGGCACCAAAAATGATAAGACTATACACTGATTGCGCAATTCAAACAATCCAAAACTGTTCAACATCCATTTTCGGGCTCAGAAAGATGCAAGCAGACAGACAAAGTCATAAAAAGAATATACAAAAGCTCGACGAACAAAAGCCTCTGGAAAATTAAGAATAGAAAGGGGAAAATGGACTAAACTAGACATACATGTATCATAATAATAATTTAAACGTAGTGATTAAACAAGGTATTGGAATAATACATTGAAATTCTTGCAATGTTATTTTCTCCATCATTTCATGTCTAAATGCTTGACCTTGTGGATCACTCCAACACCTACATGTGAGGAGTGCTGAGAATATATGATTAAAGTACTTCTAGTCCAAACAACATAAGCATTGGGAATCAAAACATGAAGTCATAATTTCAGATCTACTTTTAAATCAACCGAATACTCGAACCTAAATGTGAAGAGAAGTGCCAAAAATTTGTTAAACAATTAAATTATGTTGACCTCATAGCTTAATCCTGCTGATAATTTAACATAAAGGAACTTAAATTAGTAGTGGAATCAACTGAGAACTTCAAAACAGACAAAAAGCTACGAAAGCTGGCTACTGAAGTTAGTAGAAGAGGTCATAAATTAGTCAGAGGCCTTCAACTGACACGGAGTAGAAAAGCTACGAAATCTCTACCATTTACTTTACACAAGTGATAAAAAATATCCCATTTATAGTCTCGCTAGGTTTTCAGTAGTGAGCCCTCTGATAGGAAGTTAGATAGCAGAAGAAAGATCAGACTCATCAAGGTCGGTAACATTCGAAAGAGGCTTGTACTCACCGAATCCGGTTCCATAGAATCTGGCAAAAGCAGATTATCAAAGCAGTGTCCAGATATTCTGCAGACAAGTTGTTCATCATCGGGATCCATAATGACTTCTCTGCACGTGTCATCGCATACTAGGAAGAAAACATGCGACTCATCAATTACATGGGTACTAAAGCCACTGGATAATCCAAAACAAAATTTCAATATAAAAGAGAAAGGAATACCAAAAAGGAGTATCCTACCATGAACAAGTCCAGTCTTTTCACATACAAATGCATCTCCAATTTGGTAATATGTACAAGTTTCTCCAGAGCAAGTGTGATCTATGACTATCTTGTCAGCCAAGCCCTTGCTGCTTTTCCATGAAGATACTTGATCAGCCACAGTCCTGTCAAGAATTATTTGGTCATCCTGCACCTGCAAATGCCCAATTGTTTTGTTTTTTTTGTTACCAGAAAAATAGAATTAGTTGCCAAGCAAAATATCCGCCTACAGGCGTTCTTCTATTCTAGGTCTTAACGCTCTACGTAGACACCTGAGAGACCTCCACAAGGAAGACTCCTAAAAAAAGTAAAAAGCTATTCTTACTAAGGAGGGAGGGAGGGAGGGAGATAGCCTTGGATAAACCCAAAAAACAAATCTATAAAAGAAACTATGTGTTGAGTTTCAAGCAACCGTGCATGAATATTTATTCAACCCTTTCTTAAAACATAAGGATAAAGAAACAGAAACAATACGGGTGATTCTTTAACAGCGATACGAGCTTGTGAGAAAATCAGATACCTGAGAAGGAAGAGGTGCTTGACTTCTTTTTGCTGCTTGCATTTGGATATAGTACTCTTTAAACTCAGAAGAGCAATCTCGAACCAGTTGAGTCATATCTTCTCCGTCACGCTGGGATGAAAGAAAAGATGGGTGATTAGTACATTACCAAGAGGGGAATAAAATCAGCTAACAAGATGAATATACTGCTGCGAGCAGGAGCCTTCCAAAGTACTCCAAGATCTCAGAGTGTTAAGAGATTCAGTATACAAATTTCTTTCTTAGGAGTGATTTCAAATCATACTGGCTTTTGTTCCTCATTAGATTTCATACAATTTTGAGCAAACCACTTCCTAACCATCTTTTAATAAATAAACTTTTTTTTATTTTCTTTTCGTTTCGACTAACATCCAAACAAAAAGAATGTAAGTGCATTCATTTCAAATCTTTTCTCTTCCAAACAATATAAGAATTTATAATCGTTTCTTTTCTTTCAAGTGGCAGATTTAGGGTAAGAGAAGAACCTGAATGTAAAGTTTTTTCCAAGGACATTGGCGCAACTTCTTGGTCGCGGGCATCAGACCCCATCGTAGACAATATCTGCAAACGAGTTGCAGGTGAAAGTGTTAGTAGATATTTAGAGATATTACAATATGTTCCCTATGGTAACTGGGTTCGAACATATTCTAGGGTTCAAGATGAGACTTTACAGAGGAAAACCAATTAACGTTGCGCCATAGAGTAGCATGCAGATCAAACACAGATAGATAGGATAAATAAGATGGCATTACTTACAATCTTCGCCATAATGATTCATCAGACGCCACAGAATTTAAAAAACGACAAACCAGTGAACAAGAAACCAGATCCTGCACCAAATGATGAAATGAAAACAAAAATGGAGATGGAAAATGAAAAAAAAAAAAAAAAAAACTCTTCACAATACCTCTGATGAGAGAAACTTGAGGATATGGCGGAAGAGCTCCAGAGGAACTTTACTGAAAATTCCAGTCTCAATCCTCCCGGGAACGACGCCCTTGGATTGAGATTGAGAGAACGAAGTAGTGACCGAAGCTACCTCTCTTTGTTCGTTAGGGTTAATTTGTTCGATTCGAGCTCTCTTAGGTTTTGGTTCCTCCTCCCTGTTCCCCTCTTCCTACAAAAATCCACACTCAGATTCATCATCGTCCGACGTAATTGACCCTAAATCGGCATCAACATGATAAAATTTGGAGAAACCAACGAACATGTATAAACTATACGCCCTAATTCCGGTCAAACTCGACAAACAACATCGACAATGAGAACGGAAAGCGATACAAACCTTATCGGAGACCTCCGAGAGGACCTCTGATTCGATGAATTGAGCTAAGAACTCGTCTTCTTCATCTGGAATGGACATTTCACATCAAGCAGCGGGATTTCCAAACTCCTGCAACGATCGGATCGTGAACACTGAACAGACCACTAAATAACCTGCGTCGTCCGGTGACCGGAGCTGGCAGCCGGCAGTTCCGGCCTTTAGAACGACAACCGACCCCCAATAACCCACCCGAAATCACGGGAACCACACCAGGTGAGGATTCTCCACAACTGCACAACGCGAGCATCCTGCGGCCAGACTCTCCAAATTGGGCCGACAGCCCAAAGTTTTTGGTTGGGTTCAATGGGCCGTATCTTGATAAGGCCCAGCCTGCTATAAACGGTCAAATAATTTCAGACGGCCTTTTCCCCTTAAATATATTTTCAATAGAAAATAATAATAATAATAATAATTTAATTTTGTTTTTTTTCATTAATTTATTTTAATTCCTAAAAAGTTAATTTAAACATTGTAATTAGCCTTTTATTAAATTAAATAACAAAAAACTTAATATAATATTACTATATTTTATTTATTACATTAAGCCACATTAATTAGGTTTCCTAATTAAACTTAGAATGGCAAAAAGTAAATAATTACAATGTTAATTTAATCAAATTCTTTTAAAAAAACAATTTACAAAATGTGGAGGAAAAAATAATTAATTAATAATATATGTTTTACTCCGTTATTTTGTCTGACATAATTTTCTACTACCTCATGTCATCAAATTTGGTGAGCTTTCGTCTCTATCCAGATATATTTTTTTAAGTCGAGGACGAAACGTTAAACTCATGACTCGAGTCATACGCAGTCTTAAATTTATGTCAAATTCTGAAATTTAAGATTATGTCTCGAGATCTTATCCATTTTGGAATTCATGTCATAACTCTAAATTTTAAGGTTATAGCTCGAGATCTCGTATACATTCAGAATTAATGTCAAACCCAAAAATTTGAGGTTATGGCTCGGGATCTTACCCATTTTGGAATTCATATCAAAATCCCAAATTTTAAAGTTATAGCTCGAGATCTCGTACACATTCTCAAATTTATGTCAAATCCAAAAATTTGAGGTTATATTTTCGGAACTTAGCCATTTTGGAACTCATGTCAGAACTCCAAATTTAAGGTTATAGTTCGAGATCCCGTACACATTATGTAATTCATGTCAAACCCAAAAATTTGAGGTTATGGCTCGGGATCTTACCCATTTTGGAACTCATGTCAAAACTCCAAATTTTGAGGTTATAGTTCGAGATCTCGTGCACATTCTGGAATTCATGTCACACTCCAAAATTTGCGGTTATGGTTCGAAATCTTACTAATTTTGGAACTCACATTAGAACTCAAAATTTTAAAGTTATAACTCGAGATTCATTTTGGAATTCATGTCCAACTCCAAAATTTGAGGTTATGGCTCAGGATCTTACCCATTTTGGAACTCATGTTAGAACCCCAAATTTTAAGTTTATAGCTCGAGATCCCGTAGGCATTTTGGAATTCACGTCAAACTCCAAAATTTGAGATTATGGCTCGGGATCTTACCCATTTTGGAACTCATGTCATAACTCCAAATTTGAAGGTTATAACTCGAGATCTCGTACACATTCTAGAATTCATGTCAAACTCCAAAATTTGAGATTATGACTCGAGCTTTACCCATTTTGGAATTCATGTCAGAACTCTAAATTTTAATGTCATAGCTCGAGATCCTACTTGTTTTGTTCAAGACGGGTTTTCCTATGCTTAACTTGCTAAGTTAAAAAAATGGTGGCGGCTGGTCGAGAGATTATAAGAACCCTTTCACTTTCTTCCTTTCTCTGGGTTCGTAAAGGGAACGGATCAGCGGTCTAGTACCGAGTTCCAAATGCAAGCTGTCCCTAATAAACAAGAATTTGTCTCCGAGAGATGAACAGAGGGAGTTGACTTTCACAAGATTGGCCACAAAAATGGTTCACTGATCGCAATACACAGACCTCATTAGATCACCTAAACTCCAATTTTCTTCGCTCTTCGTTCTCGCTTCTGAGAGATGCAGGTTTTAGAGGACGAATTGACTGCGATGGCGATGATTTAGACGAAATTTGGGCTAATTTGTTGTTGAGATTTGAAGAGTTTCACAGAATCGACGATTTGAAGGCTCTGCGAACATGGTTTCGGGAAATGGGTGTCCCGAGGGAGTCAATACGAGGCCTCTGTTCTTGGTGATCTATACGACGGTCACTGTTGGCATTGTGTTCTCGTCGTTGTATGTGTTTTCGGCTGTTTATTCGTCTTCTAACTCTGTTTCTGATTCCAGCTCCTCCTGGTTTTCGTCTCCTTCTTCTGAATTGACCAGTACGTTTTCTGTTTCTCTCTTTGAGTTTATTGCTCTCGGTTATTGAGATGAATGGTTGAATGATTGTTGGTATATAGAACTTTAGCCAATTTACTTGCTCTATCGCACTGCATTTGGATGTTGGATTAGTTTACTTGATGCACTGTAAGCTAAACTGGATTTGCGCTTGGTTGAGACCAAATCCTCTATGAGTGATGGTTTTGGTCAATTTTTATTTGTGAAAAATGGCGCTGTTGAAAACTCTCTTTGAGTTCCAATCCACTTGTAAAATTTTGGTTCTCGGCTATTGTGTGGAACGTTTGGTTTTTGTTTCATTCTTAAACAGACCCTTCAATGCATTGTTTGTTCCTCATTGAATTGTGGCAATGGCTAATTAGTTCTAACCAAGTTTGGCTAATTAGTTCCCTAATATATATCCCCTGTTGGTTGTTCATATCCAAGAAGAAAACATTTTATTGGGTCGTGAAGCAAGTTCTTTTCTTTTCTCCGTGCAACCGGTGTTCTTTTTTTGATCTAAATTATCACTGTCTCCGTTCATTTATGACTTACCTCTCTCGCTAGATTCTGGTTCAACTCTAATCAAGGATCAAGAGCCATATGTAACACAACCGAGTACAGCGACACCTCCAGATTTCCACAGAACAGATGTTCACAACAAGGGGGAAAAACCAATTTGGGAATCTCCAGTCACCAAAACTATGCCTCCTCCCGAGACTTTTCTTCTAAGCAAGGAACTAGTTCAGCAAAGGGCAAAAGATAACATAATAATAGTGACATTTGGTAACTATGCATTTATGGACTTCATCCTTAGTTGGGTTAAGCATCTGACAGATCTTAATCTTTCTAATCTTCTTGTTGGTAAGCTACTGAATCCTTCCTAATATCATTTGGGTGGCAGCGTTAGTGAATTGATCGTTTTTCCTTCCTTCGAATAGGAATAAGCATATATATACTGTTCATTACTTTGAAAATATGTTTAGGAAGCTTGGATGATTGTTTCAGGTGCAATGGATACCAAACTGTTGGAAGCTTTGTATTGGAAAGGTATTCCAGTTTTTGACATGGGAAGCCATATGAGCACAGTGGATGTTGGCTGGGGGTCGCCTACATTTCATAAGATGGGACGAGAAAAAGTGATTCTTATCAACTCAATTCTCCCTTATGGTTTTGAGTTATTGATGTGTGATACAGACATGGTCTGGTTAAAGGTACGTTTCAGAATCGTTATTTGGTTGTTCCTTCACCGGCAAGCTACTTCTAAATTTTGGTTTTATGTTAATGGCTAACTTGTTTCATTTAGTTTATTCTGGGCTGGGCTTACCTAGAGAGACTTCCTGATCTCAATACTGCAACAAGACATATTCAACATGTCAAAACTCTTTGGATTTGTTTAGCGTGTCGAAGTCGTTCTGTTAGTTTTATTATTTGATAAAAACCGATCTTTTTGACATTGTTTTACTATTCATGGGTAGGTGGGGAGATCTCGGGGCGGGAGGGAGGTTTTCTTTTTGGATTTTCAAGAGTTGAGAAGTCTATAAAATAATATTGAACGAGACACTGATCTTTATAAGGTTTAAGTCCCATTAAAGTCATGAGAAAAATTAACAGAAGTCCCTGTAATCCTCATTATGCATGCAATTTCATGGTTGATTTTCATTTATTAAAATCTTTCATAGATTCATTTCAGATTTCTTTTAATGTTACTATCAGAAAAATCGTCACCTCATAACTCGTTTCATGTAACAGAATCCACTCCCATATCTTGCTCGTTACCCTGAAGCAGATGTCTTAACTTCAAGTGATCAGGTTGTACCAACAGTGGTCGATGACAGTTTGGATATATGGAGCCAAGGTGAAGTATTAAATATTCTCCATTCTTCCAAGATATTGATCTAAAGTCACTACTTGAGTTTTCCCAGCCCAAAATATAAAAGAAAATACTATGTGCAAGCATAGAGTTTACAGCATTAGCTCCCTCTATGAGCTGTAGAAGTAAAGCTGTTTAAAACTGTCTTCTTCTTGTGTGTTTCATGAATGTTCATGAAATCAAGAACACATAAGCACATTTGTAAGTAGGAAATGCAGAGGTTCATTTGGATACTGCTAACGCCTATAATTCTGTAAGTTTCTTTTGCCATGATTGAAATTGCTCCATCTTTGTGTCTTTGAAGAGATTCAAACGCTATGGGGACATTGTTTTGTGCAACTGAAGTTTCAATCTCTAACCAGATGATTTTTCAAAATTTCTTTCAAATTTTGCCTTTTGAAATAACTCTGTACTTTGTGCCGTAGCAATATTAAAGGTAGTAATGCTTTTGAAACAGTCTCTGGTGCCTTGAATATTGGAATTTTTCACTGGCGGCCTTCACAAGCATCAAAAAAATTGGCCAAGGAGTGGAAGGAAATGCTCCTAGCCGATGATAGTATTTGGGATCAAAATGGTTTCAACCAACTTGTTCATAAGAGATACGGACCAGCTGTTGATGAAGACAGTGGACTCGTATATGCTTATGATGGTTATCTCAAGCTAGGAATTTTACCAGCAAGTATTTTCTGTAGTGGACACACCTACTTTGTCCAGGTAGGACCTCCACGCTTTGCCTCAGCATTTTTTTTCTCTTTAGCATCCGTGAGTTTTCGGGTCACAGCATCCTATTAATCAGAATGGCCATGTAAAAGTATCCTCATTAGTCTACTTAATGAACTAAGCATCCAATTACAATGGCAGGCAATGTTTCAACAATTTAGATTGGAGCCATATGCCATTCATACTACATTCCAGTATGGGGGTACTGAAGGAAAGCGCCACAGGCTGCGCGAGGCAATGGTTTTCTATGATCCTCCAGAGTACTTCGATACACCGGGTAAGTTTTGTACAAGATGCATGGATCATTCTTTTTAACTACATGATGCTTAGAGGAAGTGAAGATTTGAACCATCTGATTTCTATCCCTCACCTTTGAATACTCAGTGGTTTCGTGATTAGTCTTGTGTTACCTCTGTACGGGTCATGACAGAACCCGCTTTACGTTATTGTTTATGGGGAAGATTTCAATTTTATTTGTGGCTTCATGATCAAATGATTGGCATGCCCCACTATTGAAGATATTGTGACTGATGCTTGAATGTTTATTCATTCCTTGGGAAATTCTGCAGGAGGTTACCTGTCATTTAAGCCATCAATCCCTAGGAACCTACTACTTGAAGGAGAGCATAACGTTGATACACACTTCATTCTTATTAACTACCAGGTTGTGTTCTAACAATAAACCTAAGTGTTTCTCATATGATGTCCTAAAACGTTGCATTTCTGATTTTCTGATTCCGTTTTTTTTTTTTTTTTTTTTTTTTTTTTTTTTTTTTTTTTTTTTTTTTTTTTTT